AATTTCTTCCGCGCACCACCACTATGTGGAACCAGCTACCCACTGAAGTATTTCCAAACCAATTCGACTTAGGGTCCTTCAAGAAAAGAGCGTACCAATTTTGAAAAGGCCGGCAGCACGCTTGCGAGCCTTCTAGCAGTGCGAGTGTCCATGGGCGTCCATCACTTAACATCAGATGAGCCTCCTGCCCGTTTGCCTCCTCCTTAACATAAAAAAAAAAATATATATACGTTGAGAAAACTTGTCTTTAACGTTTGTTTGAATTGATTTCTTAAGAGAATACACTAGAGGCGCTACAACCGCCTTGTGTTAGCGTCATATTTCTATATATGTTTCGATCTTTCTTTTATTCATAGGCGTACAAAAATGCTATGCTTGGAACTAACCAGACAACATGCAAGACAAATAATCCTCTCTATTTGCCTTTCAGTTAAAGATATTGAACCTTTGCCTGGAGCCCGTACGATCTCGCCATCAAATAGTTTACATATGTGCTTCGGTATGTTTTAATCCTGAAATAAATCATTTCGCATGGTAATATGATGAATAGATTTAAGTTATTAAGTTGTAATTACTAACATAGTTATGGAACCATGATTCCGAAATAAACATTACACTATTTACTTCATGCAAGTCTTCTGTCTGGGTCATTCTGTGGGTCTAAGGCATGTAGATTTCCTTACGATATTTCCTTCACAAGCTTCCTTCATTGAAAAGAAATATAACTATTATAAGCCTTAGTCTATGACCAGTGTTCTTATTTGTAAGAATAGGCATATTCTTTTATTATTACCATAATCGTCAACCTAATTTATAAAAAAATACACCGTCTTTCATTTTTAACTAAAGTGTTCATTTGTCTGTCAAAATCTGTTGACGCTATCCTGCCATTATCTAGCCATTTTTTTTATACTACAGCGTAGTAACGTAGCAAGTAGTACTTACGTAGCAAGCATGTTGCGACCGTAGCCTCGTAGCATTCGTAGCATCTGGCTTACATTAACCGTAGCTAATGTCACTCGAGCGTAAAATAAGTTCTTTATAAAATAATTTCAGATATAATGTAACAAAAATTTCTTTAATGCTCTCTTTAGTATCGATGCCTATAAATTTTTAATAAAAAAAAAAAAAATTATACTAAAGATATAGCGAAAGATGGAATACATAATATTTGCAAAAAGCTTTAAACTTTTTATATTAACTGAGTAATATCTAATTTGGCTGTGTTGTGTGATGATGTTAAAGTGAGGGTATGTACATGGGAGTTTGTATGTGCTCATAATGCAGCTGATATTACGTTATGGATTTTTTATATTTCTTTATTTACAAAGATTAAAAATACTTTTCTTGCATTATTACACACTCAGTTTTAAATTTAATGGATTTAAGGTTCCATGTTACACTCTACAGATTAAAGCTATATTTGAAGTGGGAGAAAATAAAAAAAAACTATACAGTAAACAAATTTATTGTCAATCGGTTTATTTACAGTAGACTAGAACGTTACATTACTTAAAACACTTTAGTATTATAAAAATTAATTAAACATGTACATTTAGCTCTTAATACAGTATAAATTTGGTGTAATAAAATTACATATAGATTAGCTAGTCATAAACATGGATAAAAATGGAAGATAGTGTAATTTAATTATATTAAAATGTTGCGTCATTCCATGACATTAAAAATGAACTAACATGGTCAGACAGGGGCAAAAGTTTGTTCTGGGTCTGTAACTATAAGTGTCTTTTCTCTAAAAACATCGCAACCAATACTTACTTTATCTTTAGTCCACGTTTTACATCAAGTTACAGTTGTATGTTCCCTTCTTTGTTCAAACTATCTTCAAACTGTTTATAATATATACGAGTGTGATTATTTTAGTTCTCGTTGGTATTGTATCAAATGGGTACTTATTGTTTTAGGAAGTTGTAATGAAATAAATCGAAGTATATTTATTCTGGTGATATTACAGCTCTTATCCTTGAGGGACCTCATATTTACCTCAGTTATATTGTCAATTAAATTAATTTTAGGTAAATCAATCTTCGGATACTATTGTAAGAACGATGCGAATAAAGAAGATCTAATTTTCTTTTCGTGGGGTAATACGTTACGCATACCCTCCCACGGCACGACTGCCCCGTGGAGAGGGTTATGTGAGACTCACTTTTGTGCATACCCACTAAAACCTCACGATAACAGAACACGGTACCAGTGTAGCCTTGTCCGCATCCCGCTACGCCATCAGCCTTAGAAATCGCGGCCCTTACCGCCAGGTTCACACTGCCTTGCGATTCTGTAACTCACTTTTCGAACTCACACAGCGGTTTTCACAGCGGTGGTCGCGCTCAAATCAGTCGTGAAGCACTCATTTTATGATTTGGCATTCTGATAAGGATGATGATGATGATGAAGGTGTTCGAAAAGTGAGTTACAGAATCGCAAGGCTGTTCTAATTAGATTGGAGATAATGCAATAGCTACAAACATTATACTATTATATCATTGCGTTTCTTGTCTTAACGACGAGCACAAAGTTAGGAACAGTTAGTTACATAGACATAATCCACTATGAAATGTGAGTTCCAATTCTGTCCGGCCAAAGCTTTTGAACGGTAATCCTATTAATTACTCTTACATGATCCAAAATTTAAGCTGTACTTAAGCCTTGAGTTAAGTGAGTGAATTGGGGCTTATATGATAATCGTGATTCGTGTATATACCTCTTTTATTGATTTAGTCTTATTCTTTCCAAAGTATTCGTAAAGTACTTTACTTAATTAGACTGATTTATTTAAATAAAACTTTAATATATACTCGAATTTTTACATTATTCACATAAACGTTATATCAAGGGGGGACAATTAGTCTATAAATCAAGCGGAATAAATACCAACTTTGCGTCAATAGATGGCGCTGGTAGTGCAGAAATTTAACACTAATCATATAGTCATCTAGTTATGGTATTGGTGATTACGATTGGTAAGTCGAGTTGAGTACATAATGTAATAAATTCACGTATATATGTATTAAAGAAATAATATTTTAAAGCAGAGAATTCAATAGCTATTTGATGTTAATTAAGTTTATGAATATATTATATAACTATTTGATAGTTCATTGTACCTATGCAGATTGAAGTACAAGAGAAGTTCATTTAAAATAATATTGTATGTGTACAGATAGCAGAGTTTAATATGAATCAAAATTTCTTATGAAAATAACACGTAATATATTATTTGGATATACACACTTATAATAATCTAAACACATATAAAATTTATTATAACTTATTATACTTAATTACGATAAAAACACCATTTAGATAAGATAAAGGCACTACATATTTATATTAATTTATGAAAAATAGCCGACTTTGCGCGGGTATAGTAAATTACGTAAAAGTCATGCCAATTAGGTCGCGTCTGTAATCTATGGATTTTCTCATTTGAGTTTGAAGGGTGTTACAGCATACAGATAATAACAGCGACTGTATAGTCTACTAAATCTTATATCTCTTTCTGTCAAACACCTGGTGAAAGGGACAGACGAGTTTAGATATAACGATGTAAGTATACTGTTTTATTTACGAACGAATCTAAATTTTTTGCAGTTTACATCTTTAATTTCAAAGTCAATCACCCACTATGAAGAGCAACGAACATTATGGCTGACTTTTGATTCTATTATTAAATAACCTACTTTATAATTATACAATTATACACAAAAACATCAAATCCTTCGGTGCATTTGCAGTTTATATTTACAATTATAAAAGTTTTAACATTATTTATGACTAGGTTCAGAGTAGAGTAAATATCAAGATCTTAGACATTCTGTGACCACAAGTAGTATCAATGAAGAATCAAAAACTGCTATACATGTCAAAAACTGTACAAAGTATTAAATGCTATCGTTAAATACTTTGCCTAATATTGGAATACTTAGTGATGCGTGTAACCACGAGATGGAGCTGTACGATTGATCATAGACATATAACACCTGTATATTAAAACTTTTTAAAGTTATACTTCTTTTGGCGTGTTAGGGAAAAATGATGAGAGTATTTTCTACGATGCGCGCGCACACCGTCACAAAAAACCGACACCCTGAAGTTAGCTATAGTCAACATTTTAGTTTTTTCTACAAACGTAGAATATAATTTTTGATAAGATTTTTATCTTGTTACGGCAAAGAAGTATAACTTCTAACGCGTGTACATGTTTATGAATGCACTTGAAACGTCGTAATATAAATTTACGTTTATATCGATTATAGTTTTAAAGACTGATTTATTATCTATGGTCTACTACTTAAACTGTTGATACTATGTTAGGACATCGGTACTTATAAGGTATATAAGAAAATATGTAGGTCTTCTATGAAAGAAGAGGCCTAGGATGGAAGAAAATTTTGTAGTGGACCCGGGTTTAATGAACTATTTACAAAGAATTATTACTAGCGATTTATATAAAATTTAAACTCTTGAGTATATTTTCTAACTAGGTTATATTGCTCACAATACAAGATTTATTATATAAAGGACAAAATACTGATTTATTTAAGCTTAATAAATTCTCTCAAGCATTGGCACTTAAATCGTCTGACGTATGTCAGAATTTTGACTTTGGCCCTTTATCTGTTAAATGTGTCCAGCATTAGCCATAGATAAACAAATTTTAGTTAACACCGTCAATCAATTTTGACAAGTAAAATGTCTTAAACAAATGGGGTTCTTTTATTAAACAAATCAAAATATAATTTGTATTAAGTTTAAATAATAATTGAATATGAAAAAACAACTGTCGGTTGCAATTGAATAACACTCAAGGTCGATATTTAAAATAATATTATATCAGATAATCGATTTCGCTTTCGGATTACATCGAATGGGCGTTCTAATAAAATTTAAATTACCACACACTGGACACTTAAATGTTTATTCACTTCACAGCCTCGTTTTACTGTCTATACAAAAACGGGGCCATCCGATTCTACTCACAGAACATGTAAGTTCTCACAATTTTTGAATTTCGAATCCTCTTTCCCGAAGATCCATGTGAGCATCTGCCGGGCTTTCATACTTGCGCGTACAACACCTCGGGATTTATACCAGTGCGCTGGTGATGACTCTCTGCCTCCATCGGAGGTGAACTGCTGCTGCTTTAGCCTGATCTGGTTGAGGATGCCGACAAGGAGTTCGTCAACGTTGTGGTTGATGCCAACTGACACTTCTATGAATTTCGCTTTGTATGTGCACGCGAGGCATTTACCATCTGTGAATGGGCAAAATTATTAAAATAAATCGTAATTTGAACATATTTAAAGCAAAGTTAATATAATACATTTATTTATTCTAAATACTTTCATCTTTGGGGTACGCAAAGACATGTTTAGTTTGCCTTCTGTTCAAGATGAAATTTTTGTTTCGCCCGATATGAAATCGTGTAATGGCTCTTTAAATATACGGTTGTTAAATGAATACATATGATTTTATTTCAGTAAATAATTCAAATATCGTGATTGACAAATTTGGAACTACAACACGAACAACAATGTTTGTTTTGTTTATGGCTAGTATGCGGAAGTATGTCTACTATCAAATTTCGTAATAGAAAAGAATTTGGTCGGCACTTGTAGGATTAAAACGAATTAATCACAATTCTTTTGATACGTAAATACTCTGCCACAGTTTAATTAAATCTTCGATTTATTACAACTCAGATATTTTCTATCTAATCTCTATTTACACAATTATGTAATCTTTCTTTTATAAAAAGTCTCTTGTCCCTGTAGTCAGTACTATACTTGTAAATAATAGATGCATTTATAAAAAAATACACTAGCGCTACAACCTGTTTTAGGTCTTGGACTCAGATTTATGTATCTGTTTCATTATTTATGATCGCCTCGACTTTTTTTTACTCACGATGTTTTCCTTTATCGTTCGAGCGAATGTCAAATGTGCACAAATCAACAAGCCAAAACTTGAACAATGTCTTGAAAGCACGACCTGAATTTTAACAAAAACAGGACCAATGTTTAAAATTATGAAAAATTAAAAGAATAATGATAACAATAATGACTATGGAGTCATTATTATTATTGAATATTGAATTCCTTAACTTATAGATCTACAACATTGACAAATAAACCATTCCTATTAATTTTAGGTTAAGGTTTTTAACTAATTTCACTTTGATGTTATTAAATTATGATGACAATGGCAGGTGACACTAACACATTAATAATAAAGATTATGATATTACGACAGACTATCAAATAGTCTGTTAATTTGTAGTTCTATTAATATTGGCAAATCAAATAAATAAGGAACAGTTTTGAACTATTTGACTTTGATGTTATGAAATTATAATGACAATAGCAGCTGATACCAGCGACATATATAATCACGATAGCACGGTTCAGCTCAAATTCTATTTGGAACTGAGTCGTCGTCGTTCAAAGTTAGTTGCTACCGAATGGAATGTAAACTTTGTTGATTTGTGCATATTCAATGAAAATATTTAAATTCGCATTCAGTAATTATGAAAATCTTTTATTTCAATCAAGATACATTTATAATACGTAATATAAATATGTTTGCTTGGTTTATTAAGGCATTTTTCCCCCACAAATGTTTTTGTTCTTAAAAACGTACATCTACCAAGTCTAGAGTACTTCCCATACTCGCACTTCTCCGATATAATCAAACACACTTGCATTAAGAACTTTTCTTAAATTTTTATTTACACTTCATTACCTAAAACATACATATAAAAAGCCTTATCGCTAACAAGCGATTACTTTCAGGCAACCCTAGTATGGAATAATAATAAAGAATTGACTGAGAGTAAAATAGAAGAAGTGCAAAAATAATAAACAAAAAAACATAAAATTACTTGTAACACTAGATATACCAACTAAACTTAAATATAAAAGAATAATAAAAATGTAAATGCTAATCTTATGGTTAATGAGTCATTATTAATATATTTAAGGTAATAACGAGGCAGATGAGAAATGCTCCTTATGTTAGCATGCATCAAAATATTGTTAAACTAGCAACAAGTAAACATAATAAAGCTAAGTAAAATTTCCGCACAAAGTCGCTAAGCCACTTAACTCTGAATAATATCATTAAGAAAAATATAGCTGTAATAATTTGAGGCTAGCTGTCTCTCGGGAAATCACTTTGCCTCAATAATAGGACATCGCTTTATTAACTCTTATTGCGTAGATTATTATTAAAGTTATCTTAAATAGACTTAGATTTTCATTTTTACTAGCTTTTTATTGTTGTTGACTTAATTAGACGTAAAAATCTCCTTTGTGCCGCGAGACAGTTTTTAAATTTCGAATTTGCTGTAGACTATTGTATAAAAAATAAATCAGTGGCGCTACAACCTCTTTAGGTCTGAATCTGTTTCATAATAATTTTTCAATCTAATAGGCAAGTAGGTGATCAGCCTTCAGTGCTTGACACACGCCGTCGACTTTTTGGGTCTAAGACATGTCGGTTTCCTCACGATGTTTTCCTTCACCGTTCGAGCGAATGTTAAATGCGCACATAGAAACAAAGTCCATTGGTGCACAGCCGGGGATCGAACCTACGACCTCAGGGATGAGAGTCGCACGCTGAAGCCACAAGGCCAACACTGCTGCTAGACCATTGTATAGCTTCTATATTTCCTTTGTTTAACTTTATTGTTGTAGAAAAGAGGAAATCTAATAATACGATTGGGTGTTACATCGAAATAGTTATGATATTTTATTTTCTATTCTACGAGTATTACTTTGCCGATGCAGCTGTATACATATATCACTTAATCTAAAACTATCTTAGCTAAAATTGTAGTTAAATAAAATTTGATTACCATTTTGAATTAATGTTTTGAACTATTGTTATTAATGTCCATAAATACGATTTTGTTTTGTATACATGCAACACTAGCATTGTAGCTTATGTGAGCTTATTATAGTATGGCATATATTAACTGTGTATTAAAAATAAGCTATTTACAACATTAAATTAAATAAACAATTCGATTTTAATAAAAAGAAAATCAATACCTTGAGTCGAAACAGCTCTGCTTCTCGCTAAATCTATTTTATTCGCAACCAGCACCGCCGGCCTGCATCTCAACATGTCAGAGTCCAGTAACCTGGCCAATTCCTGCTCAGCCTTCTGGAAGGATGCCTTGTCTACTACAGAGTATATTACGACGAACGCATCTGGAGGCTCGCAGCGGTCTATCTCTTCCTGTGGATAAACCATAGATAGTTTTATAATTACGGCTTCAAATATAGATTAGTTTAATTTATTATTTTCAAATAAGTTATTATTACGGTAACAACTCTGCAATTAATTTGCTGGAATGTATTGTAAAGGAAAACATTGGGAACAGTGTGTATGAATCACCTTTTTGTGTAGTGTCAGTAAACTTTTAAAAAATCGCAACAATTCTTTATTTTTTTTCTATTTTATATTATTATTTTTTATATCATATCGAATTAATGAAATAAAGACAATGATATCTGTTGTATGAACATTAGCAGCTCATAATATATTAAATGTACGACGCAATTTATTGATATTTTTATGACATTTACGATATAAATAAAAATTGTAATTAAAAATATATCATCATTTGTTATGTTCAAAGGTATTAATGAAGAATTGTAAGTTTTAGCTAGTAAATGTATGATGGATTCCCGTTTGACATAAATAGTATATATTTATATAGAAGCTATATATAAAGCTTGGGAACATTACGATTTATTACGACTTCAAAGCCATCGATTTCACAAAAGGATTAGACCAGAAATAATAAACAGCTGAACGCGTAATATAATGTCTGTACTCTGTACATTCGAAGGGGACAAAATTAATGAAAATGAGGGCTTTATTTCCAGTAGTTCTCGCCTATTTTACGCCCTTCAGAGGGGATAGCGGTTAGTTTGAGAATTAATATGATCAAATTAATGTTTTTATACGATTTCATAGAACTCCAAAGAGTTCAATTTTGTTTATAACTTGTATTCCAATCGAATTAGTGATCTTATCGATGGGATTTCCGACACTGATGGATTATTTAATAATATTTACGACAAATATTAATTTAATGAATAAGGTTATTTAAAGTCGTGATTTCTACTTGGGGCAAGGGCCACAATCCAACTGTCATTGATATTTATTTATGATTCTTATCATTAGTTGTAAGATTTCTTATAAATTAATAAGTCTGTGCCTTTCACCCCATCATTATTCAGGAGTTATGCTATAATTTTTGTTAGCATTTAGGCTAATAATTAAAGTATATAATTAATAATTCTTTTTTAAATAATAAATCCTTTATCCTATCCCCGACCTAATGCATCAGTCTCTTTTCATCACAGCGTAAACACAATATGACAGAAAGAGATGAAAGAGTACTTATGTTTAATGATCCAGTTTTTCCGAATAAGAGAGTAAATGTCTTAGTTTTTTTTCTATAATCGCTGTCGCAGGTAGACCTTTTAAGGCAGTTCAAAGTTCGGTGTTTAGTAAAAGTTCAAAGTTTAATGCCAAACCAAATAAAATTGGGTTTTGTACTTCCACTGTCACCGAACTTATACTTAACTCGGGACCGTAAATTTTTGGACACGGTTAAAATTAATAATTCAACCGTGAGTCTCATATTCAAGGGCTCAAAGGGATGTCATTTTAAAGTGTCCAGAATTAAATTAAAGCTTTACCCTTCTGATGGAGGATCATCATTTTATTTAATGAGGCAACTACAACTTTGTACGAATAAAAATCTTAAACCCGTCTCTGTGTATATTAGAAGATTCGGGAGATAATAAGTCTGGTTAGATCAGTGTTTCCCAATTTGGGGCCCACACCCCACAGGGGGCAATTTGATTGGTATAGGTTTATATGTTTTGAAAATTTATATTTTTCTTAAATAAATTTCCTAGTAATTTCTTCCTAAAACGTTTCATTGTAAACACTACATTGACTGTCTTAAGTGAATTAATTTTTTTAATATAAAATTATGAACGTTACATTGTATATTTTTTTAGGCAGACACTGGTTTAGCCGAATATAGAAAGCTGTTCACTTGCATATAAAAGTATAGTTATTTTGCAAATTTTTCACATGCCAAAAACATTTCCAGTCTTCGCATCTACGCGTGCGTGAGTGTAGCATAGTTGCAATTCTTAGATAATACTACAGAGGAAGAAACGATTAATATATATATATATATATATATATATATAGTACATATAACTTCAACCCCTCGACATACAGTGCGGTAAACAGAGTGGATTCAAAAAGTTTAGTCTGATTGTTCCTCGATACAATGTTTAGATTGCGCCTGTCTGAATGATTGATGGATAACGTTGAGGGGAGGGATTTCCTATCTATGATTAATGCGCCGTGAACTCTACACTCATATTAGTAGCATGAGATTGTAGCCCTAGTGTACATATAAACTTAACCAAAAATAATTGAACTCAGAGTTTTATTTGTCGGAAAAGGTTTGTTAAAGTTTCATTAAAATAAAATATATCTTACCCTTGCACTTGTGCAGTTTACGAAATAAAGCTCCGATTCCTCGCCATTTAGTAGAATTGATACTTTCTGCTCTGTGCCGTCCGCATCTAGAAAAAATGTTTTAATACAATATAGAGGTTACGTTGAAAAATAGGAGGTACTAAATAAGAATCGCGTGTTCTAATCCCATGGCGCTATACCTCTATAACATTATCAAAATATTTATTCATATAGGTAACTTATGAACGTAAGTAAAATAATGATTCTAAATTTACATTAACAGCCAGTTCTCAAATCAAGGCGAACAGAACTAGCAATGATGTCTCCGGCTTTGCCAAATCGCCAAGTAGTTTTTTTGCAAAATGTTTGTAAGCACTTTCTCTATTACATCATGCTCATCATCAAATGTTATATGGATCTTGGCCTCAGATTAGTTTTTAATACTATTTTAAAACAAATTTTATACCCTTGTATAATTTTTTTACGTTTTTATATTTAAAATATTGACTATCGAATCGCTAATAATAATAAAAACATTTATTTATAAGACAGTGGTACATTTAGATCAGTTATAAAAATCTGCACAATTCGCAATATAAAAATAGGCATGCAAATGTCATATTAATTTTCATTAACTCATATAATAAGAACATTAACACACTATCATACTACGTTAAGGTATTTATAATTTGTCTAACTTAGGTCCAAATATTCGCCCACGATATAAAGGCACCTTGCCTTTAAAAATTTAAACACCTTTCCCTTGAAAGCATTACACGGCAGTGACTATTACTATCAACTTGAAAAGTCGGATAGATCCAGCAATAGTGGCAAATCAAATAAACTTCTAGTATTAACGGTTTTTAACTGATTTGACGTTAACGTTGTTAATTTATAAGCCAAATAATGACAAAGACAGCTGACAGTAACGCCATTGCTCTGACATATACTAAGAAGTATAACTGCTGCTTGTAAATATTCGGAAAGTAATTTAAAATATCGTTTGGTAACTTCTACGTGAAATTCCGATAAAAATATTTGTTGCTAAGGTAAAATTATTTTGATTACATTCTTTGACCTTTTGGAAAAATAACATTTCCTCTTTATAATGTAACTTAAGATTATGGATAAGAAAATATAATGTGCCAAAAATATTTTTATAAAGTTCCAGAGTTTTAAGGATTTTTATAATCTGGGGGCATCTGGGTTCAATATAAATTTCCGAGAATGCCCGAGGGTCTGACGTTTTTATGTCCCAGCCACAGATTAACGATACTACATGGCAACTGACATTTACTAGACATCTCTTACATAAACAATACGCGTTTAGTAACCATTTAACCCGTAAATCTGTATTAAATTCGAATTATTCTTAATTGGAATCTTTACTTAGATTAAAATAAAAGTTATTTTTGTAATCTAATTAAAGATATAGACATTCTAGAGACTTTGATTTGTAATAATTTAAAAACAAATTTCTGAGAATGCTCGAGGATCTATAGTTTCTATAACCAAAACACAGATTAACGATATTACATCGCAAATGACATTTCGGTCACTAATGGAGACAGCGAGACATAATATACAGAATAAAACGAAAATCTTTTCACATTGTTACATCTACATCTTGCTGAACGTCTTGCAATTGTGTCTTAGGGAGCGTTCAAGTATTACGTCACGCAATTTTTGGAGATTATTGACCCCCCTCCCCCATATAACGCGCCGTAACGTTTTTTTGTACCCAAGTATAGTAAAACGTTTCGTGACCACCTAGTGACTCATTATACCATAAGTTACCATTATGTGGTGTAAAGTACTGGAAAGTCGAAAATAATATTAACAATAACGCGTAATTCAATCCCCGCCCCGCATCGTAACGTTTTACAAAAGGACAAAAAATTCGTTACGTAATACTTGAACGCTCCCTTATAGTGTCGTCTCAATTTATTTAAAACAGTTGTTTGGAGATTTAAGAATAAACAGTGTTTTGCTTTCTAAAATCCAGATCTCACCCAGAATCGTACACACCGTATAGATATATTGTACATAACTTGCATGTCGTAATTCATGTCATCTAACATACCCGCAATTCACAAATTGTATCTCCAAACTTCAGCTAAGTAACGTGTATGTTAAACTTTGTCGTACTTAACGGTCGGAGAAATAACTTGAAAGCGTTTCGTATGTTCAGAACCTAGTTAATACGAGCCAAGGCACTTCTGCTTATGCTGGCTTTACGTAGGAAATTTTATAAGAGAACAGGCGAGATTTTTAAGGTTAGAATTTATACTAGAAATAGTATTGCCGCCTATTAAGCCTTACACACACATACGACAATCTATCTAAAAGCTGGCGCGGCCGCTAAAAAAATAAACGTTTAAAATATTATAAGAGTCTTTCCTCCAACTTTAATTTTGTACCCAAAGAGTAGAGACTTTTGGGCGGGGGTTCAACTGCATAGGCTAATTAATGATTTAAGTTGGCATCTGGTAGGTAATACAGGTGACCCCCGAGCTGGTGCTTTCCTTGCTTAACGAATAAGTATCGCAATACAGCGAGGAATTGCTGCCAGCGTTAAATGGACACTGCCACAGGAACCAAACTTTTTAAATTGGTTTTAATTTTCTTTTATCAATTTTTAATAATTATTATTACTATGTTGGTGTAATATTCTAAATATTGTATTGTGAGTTGAAAACTATAAATTAATTCTACATTGCATGCAAAAACAATTTAAATCTATAAAGTATTATTGTTTAATTACAACCAATTATTCTTGAAGCACGCTTGCGGTTTTAAACGCAAGCACCGCAAGCGTCTCCAAGAATCATTGTTATTAATTGCTACGTCGCAAGATTACCATTTAACATTTGAACACGTACATTTCCGTAACTTTTAGGTCCACATTTTAGACACAAATCTCAAGATCTGTGAAAACATTTCTTCTGTGTGAAGTCATATTTGACAGCAAGACTAAAAAATTTTCAAATTGGCATAGGAATCGTGGCTCGTGAAATCGCTCTTAACATTTCTTTATCATAGGATTAAATAGAATATAAAGTATAATAAGCACTCGTGTGCACAAGTGTTATATTATTTTTCAAATCGGCATTGTTTACAGTGTGAGAGGTCTGTGGTTCGTAAGGAGTATCTTATCGTAAAAGTCACTAAAAAAAATTAAAAAAATACTCATGATTGATTTGACCTGATGTTAAGTGATAAACCAAGGACGCTCTCGCCTTTTTAGAATTGTTCCTATTTTAATTATTTGACCAATTGTACAAATAATAAAACGATAATGTTCAAATTATTTGTAGAATGGGGCAATTTTAATTAAAATACTTTAAAATAAAATTGAAAACTTTGTAGAATTCTAAATTATGTACGAGTACTGTCTGTGTTAGGTAACGTATTTAGTTTAAATTAATCAGTAGTAATAAAAACTAAACTTAAACAATCAGAGCTTGATTCACGCCCCAATTCATTTAATCTAACGAGAAAATTAGAATTAACGAAAATCAAATCAACGTTCGCGTATTTATTAATCAAGATCTAAGCAAAGCTCTCGCATATCCCTCGAAATTTATTCACACGAAATTGAGGGATTCATACGAAACGTTTGTTAAATTCACAATTTGTCAAAGTTACTCCGCCAATTGTTTTATTAATTTAATAATAATAAGTCTATTTGCGTCTTCAGAATTTTGCATTTTAGTTTGAATAATACTGGTCACCTACTTGTCTATGACATAAATGATCAAAGTAGGGTCCTATATAGGTTGTAGCGCCACTGGATTATTCTCATTAGCCATACCACTACGAAATTTCGCTAAAAGCCCTAACGATTGATGTATTAATGTGTTTGAAGGCACGAATTATGTAACCTAACATAAGTTAAGTTTTTTTAAATGTAATAGGAGGCAAAAAGGGAGGAGAACGCCGCCCATGGACACTTACATTGCCAGAAGGCTCGCAAGTGCGTTGCCGGCCTTTCAAGAATTGGTTCGCTCTTTTCTTAAAAGACCCTAAGTCAAATTGGTTCGGAAATACGTCAGTGGGCAGCTGGTTCCACATAGCGGTGGTGCGCGGCAAAAACTGTCTTAGAAAACGCTCAGTTGTGGAACGACGGACGTCGAGGTGATACGGATGGTATTTTGTATTTTGCCATGACGTCCGACTTGAGTTATATATTTCAGTTAATACAGAATCGCAAACTAAAGGGTAACAATCATGTTACACTTGTAGCCAATAAATTGTAAAACGTCAGTGATAAATGAGCCCTTTTGTTTTTCATTCACTCCTAAATAGTAATATACTCGTTTCCGAGGATGTCCAAAAAGTCAATACTATTATATTCCTTATAGATGCGTCACTAAGATTTACGAAACCATCAATAAGCCAAGGTAATTTTTTATTAGTCTAGCGTCCCAACCCTAATTTTATGTTATTTATAAGTTCTTGTTTTAAACGATTAAACCTAGTTGACACTTACGAGAAAGAGTTTCATTTATTTGAACGAGGTATGTTCCGCAACAACCGCCACCGAACTTAACGCACTTAATTTTTTTAGTTCCCAAAGTAACCACGGGCGCTGCTCAACCTTTTTTCATAAATTATTTATTTATTTTAATTATTTACACACTTACATTTATAGAAAAACAAATAACATAATACGTAAAAATTATAAGGCCAGCCTTGCGATTATGTAACTCACTTTTCGAACTCACACAGCGGTTTTCGCAGCGGCAGTCCCTCCTTATCAGAATGCCAAATCATAAAATGACTGCTTCACGACTGATTTGAGCGCGACCGCCGCTGCGAAAACCGCTGTGTGAGTTCGAAAAGTGAGTTACAGAATCGCAAGGATTATCTCTAACAAGAGATCTCTTTCAGGCAACCTAAGTACGAAAAAAAAGCTAAAAAAATATGATGGGGAAAGTGCAAGAAGTGAATAACCAAATCTTATAAAAAAATTATAGAACCAACGATCTTACTTAATCTAAAATAATACAAAAAAATAATAAAATAAAATAAAAAGCTAATCTCACGGATTCATGATTTGTGATGCAATACAAAAGAATTTCTTATTCTTTACAAGTATTACAAA